TTTCTTATCCATCAACACAGAAAATACACTTCAGTGTTCATCCCTAAAACTGGAAAGACACAGAAAAAAAGATACAACAGGATGCATAAAAGAAATTATCAGTAATTTCAAGAATCTCCCAGGAAGCAGAACTTGCATGAGCAACGGTGAGGAGCTGGATGCATTCCAGGTGATGGTGTGTTCTGGGAGGTGTTTGCTCCCGGGCTGGATGGTGTAAGCGCACATGGGAAAACACTACAGGGAAAGAAACTCTCAAACACAGGAGAGGTCATTGTTATGCTGGATTCAGGTAAGGAGCAGGAAAGGACAAAGAGATGGAAGATTGCTTAGCTTTGCAAGATGAGCTGGATTGTGTGGTCCATAGTCATTTTAGAGAGGAAGTAATATCAGTGTGAGGACAACACTTCAGTTCTGCCTTCACAAACTATGAATGTGAAGGGGTCAGAAGTGTGGGTCATTTCCTTCTGGTCAGTATATTTCTGATTCACCAGAAATTGTTACGAGGAAAGGGACATTAGTTAGTGTGGAGAAATCATATCATATTTTATGGAATATCATATTCAGATGAGTGATCAACAATTACAGAAGTACTGAAACACAGTGGAATGGATAAAAAAGATGTGGTATTTTCATACAAAGGAGCATTGCTCAGCTATAAAGAAAGATAAACTCAAGGCTTTTATCGGTAAATGGATGTAACTTGAGACCATACTCATACATGAAATAAATCAGACCCGCATATGTAAACATTGTATTGTTTCCCTAGTGTAGGAACCTGTAAGAGTAAATATAAAATCCAAACAGTACAAAAGATATTGTGAAAGGGAAAGAAACTGCTCAAATGGAAAGAACAACTGGGATGAGGGAAAGGAGAAAAAAAAGAAAGAAGGAAGAGAAAAATGTGTATATACACACAGGATAGCTAAGATAATTGTATTATTGATTTCTATTGGTTTGTTGAAAGAAACAGTTAATGCTTAATTTTCTTAACTAATTTTGCATGCTTATATCTGGTAATCTGAACAATTTCTCTGAAGACAACAATATGCAATATAACAACCATTGTTGAATTCCTATCATCTCGTTCTGTGAAATTCTGTATCCTTTCTAATTTTTTTATTATTTTTAATTCTCTTTAAAATACAAAAATTTTAAAAATAAATTGAGAGCTCTGGCAAAGAAAAATGAATTTTGTGGAAATGTGGGTATTCAATTTTAAATACATATTTCTTAAATGAAGGGGATATATGTTATGGGAACTTGTGTGTGTGTATGTGTGTGAGAGAGAGAGAGATGGAGAGAGAGACAGACAGACAGAGCGACAGAGAGAGGGAGAGAGAGAGAGAGAGAGACTGTGTGTAATAGAAATAAGGCTAATAGTTCAGTTCCTTAGTGGAAGTGCAGGCTCTAGTCCTGCTCAGCTAGCATGTATAGAAAGAACCTACCAAGGGCCCTTGGATGCTATCCCGAGTCCAGCCCAGCTGCCCCTCTTCCTTCCTCCCATGAGCTCAGGGCTCCACATGGTTCTGGACCTGAGCCTGGAGACCAGGTCTCCTGAGGTGGTCCAGCAGAGGAGAGAGCTCTGTGGGCTCTGACCAGGTAGAGAGAAATGAGAAGGATTTAATTCCCTAAACTGAAACATTTATTCCATCACTACACTTTCACCCTTCATGGTGATAAAATTAGCAAATTGTTTTTCATACATTTATATATTATTGTTATAATAATAAAATAATAATTGCTAATACAATTCTATGCAACTTAACTCTGTAGCAACTGTGGACACTGTCTCATATTGCTGTGAAAGAGACAAAGAAAGAGGACTTCAGTGTGAGTCCAGACACAAAGAACCTTGCCTGGGGAACCTAGGACCATCAAGAGGTGTTGGATGATTGTTGATAGTATTATGTATTGTTTTGAGGCAAGGTCTCACTATGTATTTCAGGTTGGTCTTGAACTCACTGTGTAGACCAGACTTATTTGAAGCCACAGCAATTCTCCTGCCTCCACCTCCTGAGTGTTGGTATCACAACGGTGTACCACAACACCAGGCTATATAAATTTTTAGATGATGAAGACTTGAAATTCCATAGCCACATGACTGAGGAAAATTCACAGTCTCCCTTTGGGTAATGCAAGATCTGTTTGGTTTACAAAAAACTCAAATGAAAAAGCATGGACAGCGGCTGGGGATTTAGCTCAGCGGCACAGCGCCTGCCTGGCAAGCACAAGGTTGTGAGTTTGATTCCCGATACCAGAAAAAAACAAAAAAAAAAAGAGCATGGACAAAAATGAATGAATAGCTAAACACACACATACATGAACTAAATTTTAACAAATGAAATACCCCCCCTTTGCTTTTGGAAGTGAGTCTTCATAAGTCAAATGTAGCAGATGTACGCCAGGGTCGCTGCAGGTCATAGGATGTTCAAACAGACGTGACCCAGAGGCTGTCAGGAAGCCCTCGCTCCTCGGCTTCCTTCTCTCTACCTGCTCTGGGGCCCTTCTTGGCACTCAGTGGATCCCCATCGCCCCCTGCTGGTCCTGAACGTCCTTGCATGGAAGTTTGTAACTGGACTCACACTAACGTCCTCTCTCACTGTGTCTCTTGCACAGTAATACACAGCCATGTCTTCAGCTGTCACAGATTTAAATTGCAAAGAGAACTGGTTCTTAGACCTGTCTCTAGAGATACTGATTCGGCTCTTCAAGGATGAATTGTAAGTGGTGCTTCCACCACTACTAATCCACCCCATCCCCTGCAGCCCCTTCCCTTGGGTCTGGCGGATCCAGCTCCAATAGTAACCACTGCTGGTGGAGTAACCAGAGACTGAGCAGGTGAGGGACAGGGGCTGTGAGGGCTTCAGCAGGCCAGACTACAACCTGCAGCTGAAGCTGGGACAGGATGCCTGAGACCAAAAATCCACATGAGTCCTGGGTGAGATGCAGCTTCTCCACGTCTCCCTGTCCAAATCTCTGAAATTCTCACCTCTGGGAACCACTAGAAAGACTGTTCCATGTTCTTGCAGATTAGGTCCACTAATTCCAGAAACTATGTTCAAGATTGACAGAGAAACCTGAATTTAAGCAAAGGCTTGCTGTGTTTTAATCTGGTTGTCTAATTAGGTATTTGCATAAGGGCTGTACACTTATATATGAAAGCATGAATGAGAGAAGGTGGTCCCTTTTGCTCCCTCTGTGGGTGATACTGGTTATGCTCTCAGAGAGCTCAGAGCTCTTCCTGAGCTCCACTGCACCAGTGCCAGGCTCTTCTTATACAAGGAAAAGACATGAAGCAGACAATCTTTCATGGAGTTGGATACATTCACAGATGAAGAAAATAATTGGGGGGCTGGGGATTTAGCTCAGAGGCACAGCACCTGCCTGGCAAGTGCAAGGTCATGAGTTCGATTCCTGGTACTGGAAAAAAAAAAAGAAAAGAATTGGGGTTATACTAACCAATCATCAGCTGCCAGGGATTATCAGGACAGTGCATGTTTAGTAGGGGGCATTTGTTTATATACAAATAAATGAACTTGCAGAACACGATAGATACTACAGGT